AACACTTTGAATGCCATCCCAAAACCTCCGATAGCACTTCCTTCCGGGGCGTGGTCTTGTCCGCGTGCGTCTACGCCAATGCGCGTGTTCGCGCCCTTCCTTGCGGTCGTCCCACGTGCGCGGTGTCCACCCAACATCCTCCCCTCACGCACCGCTCGTCTCCTCCGCCAAGTGAACGCCCAAGGCCTTAGCCCCCAAGTGTCGTTCGCGTTGCTTCCTCGTGCACGCCTTGCACCAGTCGACCGCGTCACCCGAGCCTTCAAGCCTCGCTCTCTTGAGCTTCTTGCTCGACCTCCTATGCCATAGTGCACGTCGACACCCTCGTATACGTGCTCGTGCACGTCTCCTAGGCCATGCAAGCCTTGTTTGCGACCTTTGCTTGGCCTTGTCCATTAACCTCGGCCCTCGGCCTTTCTCTTCATCGGGGGTCAAAACCCACTTCCGTATATTCCCGCCCCCTTTAAGAATGTCCTTGTCCTCAAAGACTTGTCATCGACCATTAATTTGGGCGTCATCACCTCGACCACAACATCTTCTTTGGACTCGACCCAAATGCCTTCAACCTCGACAAAGTACTCATCAGGATATACATCGAAGATAGGCGGTCCTTCATAACCCGTTGACTCCTTTATGTACTCGTCGACCTTTGGGTCCTTAAAATATTTTGAGAATTCAAACATAAGGATAGGCTCCTTTCACTTCTCGTCGACTCGGCCTTCTTCTTTGTCGGACTCGCCTAGTACGTGGTTGGATGCTCTAACCAACTCACGTTTCTTGAATTGCTACTGCTCGATCGTCCAAATCTCAGGCACCTCACCTTCGACCTCAGTTTCCTTGATCTTAGCTTCCCCGACTACTTCATCGTCCATGAGTTCATCCTCGGGGTACACGTCGAAGATAGGTGGGCCATCATATTCCGTCGAGACATGCTCGACCATGCTCGCGTATGCGCCTACTTCCTCGACGGTAAAAATCTGACTGCCCCTATGCCAAACCCGCTCAATACTCTTGAGACCAAACTCCTTGGCTCTGCTATCTTTGCTTGCTTTTAACGTGACCCGGTTCTCTCCTGAGTCAAACTCCATGACTCCCATCCGGTAGTCGGTGGTCACCTTTCCTAAACCTTCGAGCCATTGTACTCCTAACACAACGTCGGGTCCAACAAAGGGTAGCGCATAGAGATCGGATTTGATGGTGACTCCTTCAAATTTGATCGGTATCGCACGGTAAGCCTCCGAGCACTTTAGTTGTTCTCCATTGGCTACTCGGACCTCAAATGGTTCGACCTTCGTCGTTGGCAACTTCAACTTTCGAGATAGATCGGCGTTGATGAAGTTGTGCGACGAGCCGTTGTCTACTAGCACAACTACACGACGGTCCTTGACCAACGCCGGCAGCCGCATCGTCGTCGGTCCTCCTGTACCAGCCATCACATGCATCGAGATCTCGGCCTCCTCTTCGGGAACCCCATGTTGATATGCGATTTTGTATCAACATGGGGTATTCGGGAAATTGTGTTTATATGAAATTTCTGTGATTTTTTGTGTACAAATGAAGAAATCTTGAAGAAAAAAGCAAGAGGAAGAAGAACTTTTTCGGAGAGAGAAAAATAATAATAGCCCCTCAGACTTATCTATCTGACGTCCATCATTGGGGTTTATATATATATTTTTGGTGGGCCCGTTATTATTACAAGCGGTGTTCTTTGTGGGCCATAAAATAATACAATTGATATAATATATATCCACGTGTAATATTTTAATAGGCGAGGCCAAAATTGGGTATTAACAGTAGGCCCCTGACTTTAGGACATGTTCTGAATAGAACTGTTCTGAAGTCACGTGTATAGCCAATTTAGCTGTGATAACTAATGTATCGATGTTGGTCGGGTGCTTTGGGACCCGCAAATGTTTCGTGGATCGGTTCCAGACTTTGGCCTGTCGTATTGACGGTAATCGTGTTTTTTGTTCTGACGAGTGGAGTCGACTGCGTGGATAGTCAACTATGTGAAAATGCTATATGAATGGGCCTGGTTGGCTTGGTCGGGTAATTCGGTACCCTGTTTTCGTGTGTAATAGGACGTGTTGGATGAATTCGCGTCTGAAATGATCATAATAGTATAGATTTGAGCTGGTGCGGGCACTCGGGCCCCTATTCAAAGATGTTATCGATATGATATATTTGCCTACCGAGCTGAAGAACTCGGTTAGGGACGGACTTTCTAGCCCTACCAAGCTGAAGAACTTGGTGACAATAAATATTTTAGTCTACCGAACTGAAGAGTTCGGTAAAGGCATGGGTACCAGCCTTGTCATACCGAGCTGAAGAACTCGGTGTAATGATTTTTTCTTTCGCGTATTTCCCAGCCGGGAAGGTCTTATTGA